CGCGCGTGCAAGGGCGTGTCCGTGCAGACCCCACCCCCGACTAGGGGGGGGAGGGGGATTTTTGGGGGGGTCCCCGCACTCCGGGGCCCCCCGCCCCACCCCCCCCCGGGGCCGTCTCCTCCCCATGACCTTCAGGTGCCCGTGGGGGACACGGGGGGGGACACGGGTGGCCGCCTGCCCCTCCCCCACCTCCAGCCCCCCCAAAGCGCCCCCCGAGGGGGGCTCAGAGGGCTGAGGGGGGGGGATCCCCCTATAGACCCCCCATAGGCCCCTCTGTCCCCCCCTGGGGTGTCCCCAGTGTCTGGGGGCTCCTGAGACCCCCAACCCCCCCCCCCGAACCCCTCCCGGGGGTCTCAGGTGTCTGCGCGACCCCTCCCCCCCCTTATCAACCATCAGCGATCGATAATTAGTTAATTAATGACCCCCGGGGGAGTAAGGACACCCATGGAGGGGGAGGGGGGGACACCCAGGCCCGGGGCCCTCCCCGCGAGGGTCTCTGGGGGTCTCTGGGGGTTCCCCCCCAGCCAGGGCCCCCCCACGGGATGGGGGTGGGGGGGGGTGTCAAGGTGGGGGTCGCTGTCATCCCCCCCTTCCCCCTCCCCCCGCAGGTGCAGCAGTTAATGTGATTGGCTAATTATGCGCTGCATGTTAATGAGCCCCATTAGCCAATGAGGGGGGGTTATAAATAACCTGGGGGCTCATTTGCATAATGCCAGGGCCCGGGTTGCCGCGGTGACCGACCCCCCCTTCCCCCCCCCCCCCATCACGGGGTTAATTAACGTGCTGATAACGAACTTGGGGGGGGGCCGGTTGCCCAACCCCCTCCCCCACCCTTGGCTGTCACCCCCGACTTCCAGAGCCCCCCCTGACCGTGTCTCCCCCCCCCCAGGTGCCTCCGGACCCCCCGGCCGCGCTGTCGCCGCCCGCTGGGGCCACCCATGTGGCTGTGAGAGGACGGGGGTGGCCGGGCCCCCCCAGGGCCCCCCCAGGGCCCCCCGAAGCCGCCCAGGCTCCGCAGCCAGCCCAGGCGCCATGACCTGTCCGGCCGCTGAGGGACCCCCGGCGCCCGGGGGCCACCGAGAGACTAAAGCCCACCCGGGCCCCGAGGCCCAGCGCGGCCCCACGGTGCCACACGGCTCTGAGGGCCACCAAGAGACTAAAGGCTCCGTGGCCACCACAGGATCCATGGCCAGCTGGACCTCCGCGGTCAGCCAGGACCACCGAGAGACCAAAGCCCACCTGGGCTCTGTGACCCACCTGGGCTCCCAGGACCACGGGGAGAGCGAGGCCCACCTGGGCTCTGTGGCCGACCAAAACTTCGTGGCCAACCAGGACCACCCCGAGCCCGGTGCTGATGGTGGCTCCGTGGTGCTGTTGGACTCCAAGATCTCCCAAAGCTCTGAGGAGCACCTGGGGACTCAGGTCAGCCGTGTCCCTGTGACCCACCTGGTGTCTGTGGCCACCCAGGAGCACCTGGAGGTGAAGGTGCAGGAGGAACCCGTGGGCAGCCGAGGTTCTGCAGGCAGCCAGGACCACCCAGAGCCCAGCAGCGACGTCCCGTTGGACTCCAAGGTCAACCAGGGCTCCATGGATCGCTTAAACCTGAAGGGCCACCAAGACCTCGCCCCCTCCCAGGCCTCCGAGGACCCCCAGGAGCCCAAGGTCACCCAGGGCCCTGTGGCCAACCAAAAGACCAAGGTCAACCAAAGCCCCGCAGCCCCTGTAGAGGCCAAGGTCAACCAAGACCCTGTGGTGTGTTTAGACTTGAGGGTCCACCAAGCCCCTGTGGCCAACCCAGTGCCCGAGGACCACCGAGACCCCAAGGCCAACCAAGACCCCATGGACCACCCGGACACGCAAGCCCCCGTGGCTCTTACAGACCAGAAGGTCCCCCAAGCCCCCGTGGCCGAGCACAGCCCCGCGGACCCCCAGGAGACCGAGGTCAAGCACAGCCCTGTGGAGCTGAGGGTCCCTCGGGCCACCGCGGTGGCCAAGGGAGGCTGCACCGCCCGCCACCAACCCCTCGTGCCCACCTGGGCCACCCCAGCCCCCCGCCCGTGCGCCCGCATCCCCTCGGGCGCCCACCTGGGCCTGGTGCTGATGACGCTGGGGTCCCTCCTGCTGCCCTGCGCCCGGGGCTCGGCGCTGGAGTTCGGGGGCGCCCCGGGGCAGTGGGCGCGCTACGGGCGGTGGGCGCCGGGCACGGGGGGACAGCTCAGCTTCCGCCTCAAGACCAACGTGACGCGGGCGCTGCTGCTCTACCTGGACGACGGTGGCAACTGTGACTTCCTGGAGCTGCTGGTGGCCGAGGGGCGGCTGAGGCTGCGCTTCGCCATCGCCTGCGCCGAGCCGGCCACGCTGGAGCCGCCGGCGCCGGTCAGCGACGGCCGCTGGCACGCGGTGCTGCTGACCCGGCACGCGCGGCACGCGGCGCTGGCCGTGGACGGGGAGGCTCGGGCGGCCGCCGTGCGCTCCAAGCGCCCCGACATGGCCGTGGCCAGCGACCTGTTCGTCGGGGGGATCCCGCCCGACGTGCGGCTCTCGGCGCTGACGCTCAGCACCGTCAAGTACGAGCCGCCCTTCCGCGGGTGGGTGGCCGACCTGCGGGTGGGCGACGCGCCGGCCGCGCTGCTGGGCGCCCAGGGGGTCCGGGGTGACGGGGACGAGCGCTGCGCCCACCACCCGCCCTGCGCCCACGGCGGCCGCTGCACCCTGCGCCGTGGGGAGCCCCGCTGCGACTGCGCCGGCACCGGCCACCGCGGGCCCTTCTGCGAGGAAGGTGAGGGCGCAGCGGGGTCAGGAGGTCAGGGGGCGTGGGAGGGTTGGGGTGGGCGCAGAATCAGCTCAGGAGCGTCATCTCCTCGTGTTTCTCCGTGGCCTTGGGCACCTCCATGTGTTGGTGTCGTCGTGTCCTTGAGCGCCCCCCCATCGCTGTGGCTTCGCACGTCCTCCTGCTGTCACCTCCTCGTGTTTCTCTGTGTCCCCATGTCCTTCAGGGAGTGGGGTGGCTTTGTGTTTCTCCATCCCTCGGTGTCTTCCTGGTTTTGTGTGTCCCTTGCGCTTCTTGGTGTCCTCTTGGGCTCGCATGTCCTCATGTCACCGTGTCCTCCACATCCCCATGTCCCCATTGTGGTGATGGGCCTTGGGTGCTCCTCGTTCCTCCACGATCTCCTCGTGTCCTCGTGTCATTTTGTCCTTGAGTTCCTCCATGGCTTTGTGTCCTCGTGGTTCTGTGTGTCCTTGTGTCCATCCTGTCCTTGTGACGCTGTGTCCTCATGTCCATCCTGTCCTCATGGCTGTGTGTCCTTGTGTCCATCCTGTCCTCGTGGCTGTGTGTCCATCCTGTCCTCGTGGCCCTGTGTCCTTGTGTCCATCCTGTCCTCATGGTGCTGTGTCCTTGTGTCCATCCTGTCCTCGTGGTTCTGTGTGTCCTTGTGTCCATCCTGTCCTCGTGGTTCTGTGTGTCCTTGTGTCCATCCTGTCCTCGTGGCTGTGTGTCCATCCTGTCCTCGTGGCACTGTGTCCTTGTGTCCATCCTGTCCTCGTGGTTCTGTGTGTCCTTGTGTCCATCCTGTCCTCGTGGCGCTGAGCACACCTGCGCCGTTGGATGTCCTTGTGGTGCAGGTCATTGTCACGCCGTTCCCGTGGTTTTCCCACCATGGTTTTTCCACCAGGGTTCTGTGTCCCCTCCTGGCGCTGTCCTTGAGTTGCTCCACGTCCTCATGTCCTCCTGGTGTCACACATCCCTCTGTCCTCTTGTCCTCGTGTCACCCCGTGTCTTCTCCCACCATCGCTGCAACTCGTGTGCTTCTCCAGGTCCTCGTGTCCTCCCCGGACCCAGTGTCACGCTGTGTCCTCGTCTCTTCCTGCCATTTCTGGTGTCCCGGTGTCTCTCCTCTCCCTCGTGACCCCCCCGTGTCCCTCCATGTCCTCTTGTCCCCGCTGGTGTCCCCCCATCCTCACCTCCCCCCATTTTCCACACCCTCGTGTGTCCCCGTGTGACACGAGCGGGTGGGGGTGGCTTGGAGTCCCCCTGCTGGGGGGGCCACGGGGGTTTGGGGACCCCCCAGCCCCACCCACGGTGTCACCCCCCCGTGTTTACTCGAGCAATTGCACGTCCTGGTGTCCCCACACGCCCTCGTGTCCCCGCCTGTCCCCATTGTGACCCCAGGACCCCCAGACGCGGGGGGTGGGCCGGGGGTCTCTCGTGCCATCCCGCCCTCGTGCCATCCCGCCCTCGCACACGTTCCCGGGACCCGGGGACAACCGCTGGTGTCACCGTGGCGACAGCATCCTCCGGGCGCGTTGCCAGGCCCGGTTGCCGTGGCGCCACCGGGGGTTGGGTACCCGTTGCCATGGAGACACCCGGGCCTGTCTCCCTGGCGACGGTTGTCACGGCACTGCCGGATGCTCCCGCCACGTCCTTGAGGGGGGACGGGAATGGGAGGGCCCTGGGGTGCTGTGGGGTGTCCTATGGGGTGCAGGGTCCCTATAGGGAGCTCTGTGGGGTGCAGAGTCCTTATAGGGAGCTCTATGGGGTGCTGGGTCCCTATAGGGAGCTCTGTGGGGTGCAGGGTCATTATAGGATGCCCTATGGGGTCCATGGTGCCTGTGAGGTGCAGGGAGGGCTCTATAGTGTGTGCCATGGGGTGCTGGATCCTTGTGGGGTGCTATGGGGTGCCCCATAGGCTGCTGGGTCCCTGTGGGGTGTTATGGGGCACCCTATAAGGTGCTGGGTGCCCTATAGGGTGCTATGGGGCGCTCTATAGGGTGCAGGGTCCCTGTGGGGTGCTATGGGGTGCCCTATAGGATGCAGGATCCCTGTGGGGTACTATGGGGTGTTGTGGGTGCCCTATAGGGTGCTGGGTCACTCTGGGGTGCCCTATAGGGTGCTATGGGGTGCTATGGGATCCCTATGGGGTGCGGGGTCCCCACAGGTGTGCACAGGCTGTGTAAACCCCCCCCTCGGGGTGTGCAAATCCCACCAGGGCGTGCAAACCCCTCCCCCACCACCGCGCCCCGCCCCCAAGGTCAACCAGAGGTCACGGGGCGGGGTCACACGGACACGGTTGGGGGAGGGGGGGGTTGGGGACACCCGTGGGGGGTCCTGGGCACTAATTCCTCTGCCCCTCCCCCCCTGCTGCCCTCCGGGACCCCCAGAGGAAGAAGCCGCGGTGGAAGGTGAGTGTGGGGGAGGGGCGGGGGGGGGGGGGGGGGGGGGGGCGGGGCGTGTCCCAGGTGTGCGAGGGCCGCTCCAGATGGGCCAATCCCGGAGCCGGGGGGGCGGGGGTGGGGACCCCAGGGGTCCCGGCTTGGGGGGAGGGGCAATGGTGAAAGGCCAGAGGGGCGTGGCTTATGCAAAGCAGCGGCGAGGGGCGGGGTTTGGCGCTCGTGCAGAGCGCGTGGCTCCCGTGACGCTCGCGCGGGGGGCGGAGCCACAGCAGGAGCAGAAAACAGAGGTCCAGGCAATGACGTCACTTCCCGGGCGGCCCAATAAGATGCCGATATGCAAATGAAGCGGCACCGCCGAGCCAATGAAGCGCGTGTGTCGGGGTGGGGGCGGAGATATGCAAATTTCAGCGGCATCGGCAGCCAATACGAGGAGGGAGCGATGAGGCTGCACTGGATTGGCTGAGCCCAGTCCCAAGGGGCGGGGCCTGTTCTGAGAGCGTGGTTTATTCGAGGGGCGTGGCCAGTTCGAGGGGCGGGGCTTTCCCCCCACGTGCCCGGCACGAGGGTCCCGGGGTGGGGGAGGGTCCCCGCGCCAGGGGCGGCCCCGCCCCCCCGTGTCTCATCCCCTCCCCCACCCCTGGCTTTTCCCCGAAAAACCTCGGAAAAAGGGGAAAAACCCGCGGGAAGGCGGCGGGGGGGGGATGGGGAGGGGCGGCGCTTCCCGCGTGGCCCCGCCCCCCCCGCGCTTATCCCCGCCCCCCCTCCCCCTCCCCCCACCCGGCATCGCCCGATGCCGTCACAAGTTAAAGGAGGTTTAAGTTGTGACGGGGCCCCTCCCCCACCCGGGGCCCCTCCCCCTCCCCGGGGCCGCTCGGGCCTTTCGGTCATTTTGGGTTTTTTGGTTATTTTTTTATTTTTTTAATTCTGATTTTTTTTTATGTTTATATTTTTTTAATTGATTTCTCTTTCATTCCCATTTCCCCCTATTTTTCCCATTTTGCCGCTTTTCCTTTACTATTTCCTTTTTCCCCCCCTTTTTTTCTTTTACATTTCCCGTTATTTTGGGTTTTTTAATTATTTTTTTGTTTTTTTCCTTTTTTAATAATATTTTTCTTTTATTATTGTTCCTTCTCTCGTGGTTTTCCCTTTACTTTGATTATTTTTCCTTTCTCATGGATTTTCTGCTCTTGAAGATGTTTCCCCTTTTTTAAGTTACTTTCCCGTTTCGTTGTTTTACCTTTTTTATTCTTCTCCACTGTAAATTAATATTTTTCTACTTTTTTACCATTATCACCTTATAGTAATTACTTTTCCTTTTAAAATCATTTTCCCTCTTTCAATAAATATTTTGAATATTTCCCCCTTTTATATCAGAGTTATTTTTTGCCGTCATTTTCTCCCTTCCCTTTGTTTCTCTTTTTCTTCTTTATTTTCCCGCTTTGATAATTTTCCCTTTTAGAATTATTTTAATTTTCCCCACTTTTTTCCTGTTTTTTTTTCCCCCCTCTTTTCCCTTGTGTTGCTGACTTCCCCTTTTTATCAATTTCCTCCTTTCCCTTGCTTTGACCCTTTTCACTTTTTTCCTCTTTTTCCTCCCTTTCCCCGGTTTCATCCCTTTCCCTCCTTTCCTTCCTTTTCCTTTCTTCCTTTTTTCTATTTTTTCCCTTTTTCCCCCATTTCTCTCATTTTCCTCCCTCTCATTTCCTTTCATTATTTTGATTTCCTTCCCCATTTTCTCCCCCGATTTCCCTTTTCCCTCCATTTTACCCCATTTCCCTCCCCCCCCGCGAGTTTCTCCACTTTCCCATTTTTCTCCCCAAAACTTTCCCCTTTTCCCGCC